GCTGCAGGCAGCTCTGGGCTGCACCCCACCCACCCCTGGCCTTCAGGGCCACATTGAGGCTGCAGGGCGAGTCTGGCCCCCACACTTGACAGCCAGATTCCATTCCCTGGCAGCCTCACCTTGGATCTGACAGGGAGGGATCCTAGGACACCAGCCTCGTCTACCCTCCCTGGGACAGCCCAGAACTTCACAGCCTGTGGGAAACACCAGAGCATGGAGGGTCAAGCCTAGAAAACCCCCCAGTAGGTGATTAGGATAAGGTGAGCGCTGGCCCTAGCTGACTCAGGCCAGCCCCCTAAGCAGCCAATGTGAGAAGTGATGGCCACATAATGCTCTGGGGTCTCAGGGAAAGTCCAGGAGCAGGGGCACTCCAGGCTGCATCCTTGTAGTAAGCACAGAGCAAGACCCCAGCATGTTTGGCAGACCCCACCTTATGAGCCCTGCACCCCACTGCTCCAGGAGGGGTCAGCACCCCCATGCCAGGGCTGGTTTTCGGGGTGGGTGCCTGGACAAGCTGAAGGGCCTTTCAGCCACAAGGTGTTGAGAACTCTGCAGAGGATGCTGGGGATTGGCACAGTAAGCTCTGCCCCTTCGGGCTGTGTGAGGCCTCATGAAAGCTCCTAAAAGGCAGAAGAAGGGCCATGGCAGTGCCTGGGCCAAGGGCGCAGCTCATAGAGGGGACTGGCTGCTTGGCGTTAGCCCAAGCTTCTCCCACTGCTCCTGCCTCAACTGCTACTGCCCGGAGTCTAAGCCCACTTTGTGGACAAGGACCCATTCTACAGAGAGCCTCGCCTAGCTCCAGGTAGAGGCAGCAAAGTGTGTGCAGATCAAATAGCCCAGCTGGCAGCAGAGCCAAAAGTCATGCTTCCTCGCTGGCCGGCCTTGCACAAGGCACCAAAGGTCACCTCTGCAGGCTTCAGATCCTGCCCATGAACAGTCAAAAAGAAGGTGCTAGAAGGAGCTAGAGGATGCAAGTGTGGTCAAGGGGCACAGAGGAGGGTTGGGTTACACCGGGGGAGGAGAGGCAGCCTTTGCATTCTCTAGAAGCAGGGCAGGAGACTTTGGAGCTCAAGTCCCTGGTGGACATGGGGGAACCTGGGGGGACAGGAGAGTGGCTGTGATAGGCCAACCCAGTGCCTCTTACCTTCAGGAGGGCGCCTGAACCGTGAAGTCTGCCTCTTTGCTCAGAGATCGTTCCCTCCATCAGGAAAACCTCCTTGAGGTGAGTTATGGCTTCTGGAGGCACATGGATGGGCTGAGGTCACCAGGCCTTCCTGTCCACCTTACCTGCCCTGAAGTGCATGGCCTTTCTTAGGGACAGGACCACTCTAGTTAATCTTAGAGCCCTGGCCAGGAGCCCAGGATGGGGCAGTGTGGGGCATGACACTTACTAGATGGACAGGCCAGGGAAGCAACTAGGACCCTCCCCTCCAATTCAAACCATGTGTGTGATTTATGTGCATGTACGTATGTATGTGAAGCCAGATGTGTGCATGCGTGCTATGCATGGACATGCTAATGTACATGTGTGAATCTGTGTGTGCACGCACAAGTGTGCATGTGTTATGGTGTATGTGCATGCATGTGGACATGTGTATGTACACGTGAATCTGCGCACACAAGTATGCATGTATGGTGTGCATGCATGTGGACATGTGTGAGTTGCCCTAGCACACGTTTGCGCATATGCTTCTGTGCACACGGGCTATGCTGCTCTCTCTCCTGGTTCTCTTTCGGGACTGGCCGAGTGAACCGGGGCGAGCTCTTCTCTCCCTCTGACGGCCCCTCCCCAGGAGAGGGGAGCAGGGACCATGGTTCCTTCAGCCACCAGACCCTAAGGCTCAGGGCACAGGGTCAGAAAGCTTCTAAGGATCCATGAAAATATTGACACTGGGGAAATTAACTCTTATCCGCCCAACATGTGAAAACTGCTTCTGAGCTTCCGGGAGCTCTCCCCGGGTTTTTGGTTTGGGGATTTCCTGGGAAGGGTGTGTTTCCAATCAAGACTCTTGCCCAGCCTAGTTCCCTTCTGCTCACCCGGAGCTCCCCACCCAGCCAGGAGAGGCCACTGGGTAGGGAAGATGATCCAGCCCAGCACAGACTCCCGAGGGAGGGCCCCAGCCCAGCGAAAGGGGCATGGAAACCGTGTCAGTCTCCCTCAGCAGGGCTGCCCTGGGTTCACATGTCCCCTTAGGGATCTCGGGTTCCCAACCCTCTAGTTAGTTCTGAGCTGAGTTTTCCTGGAGCTTTATATTCAACACCGACTTTGCTCCCCCTCACCTCTACCCCCCACCCTAGAAACAGAAACCTGAGGTCAGGAAGCGCTCAGGGTCCTAGGGCTTGGTGTCGGGGAAGACACTTGTGCTGACTCGCACCCTCTAGACCTCGAGCCCAAAAGTCACTTCTCTGTGGCCTGCGCCAAGCGCCTCCAGCCACGTCCCCTTCCCTGTGATGACCGAGTGACACCCATCGGCTCCCAGCCACCACAGGGCCTCAGGCAGTCGCAGTGGCCTCGGCTCTGGCTTTGCTGAGCCAGTGACGGCAATGGCACCCCCCGGATGTGAAATGTGCCAACACCCGGGCCTCGGTGACCATGTAGCCTGGTGTGAAATTTGTTTCAATTCTCCATGACCACATAGGTCTTGGTTTTTCACAAGTAAAGCAGAGACCGTGTTGTGCTCAAGCTCTCTGGGCGGCACCCACAGCTTCCTCAGTGGGGTCACAGCGACGGGTGGACAACCGGCCCACAGGCAAACGGCACGTCCCCCACAGCAAGCATCTCTGAGCTGCACTGACTAGTTCAGGCCCACGCTTCTGAGCCAGCCCCTCTGCTTCATGAGAAGGTCTGAATTCAAGAAAGGAACCCCCAGCAATTAGCAACGTCCACAGAATCAAGCATGGTTTCAGTTGTCCTCCTGGGCAGCTTTGCCAGTCAGGTATGAGGTAAAGCCAGAGGGACCCTGCCTCACCCAAGCGCCCCAAGAGGGGTCCAAGGACCACTGACTGTCCCCACTTCCCTGGAACTGAGGATGAGGCTGATTCATGTGTTTCCTGTGACAGCCACGACATCATCACATCCGCTCGGAGAACTATTTTTAACTGATTTATGTATTTCTTGCATGAGGAAGACCATCAACTTCTCCTTTAGTCTGTTTTACAGGAAAGTGTTGCAACCGTGCTCAGCTCAGCAACATTAATCGCCACAGAGCATCCTCCAGAGTCTCGCAAAAATTAATAAAGTTGGAAATATGAGTCAGGTTCGGATGCCACTCATTTTGAAAAAGAAGAAACTCACAATAGTTACCTCCTTCTGTAGAATCAACAAGCCCGGTTTGCGAAAGGGCACACTAGGTCTTTAAATTTCCGTGGCAGTGCCCACAGAGGAAGGCGTTCAGACCTCTGCTGCTCCTGCAGCTCTGGGGCACTGACCACATAGAGCTGGTTTCTGCCCTGGCAACGCCTGCCCGACAGCGAGTCACCGCGGGCGTGGGCGGGGCTGCCAGGTGGCGAGGGGGCCGAGGGCCACCTGCCTGCCAGGGCCAGTGTGCCTGTCCTTAAGGCTAGGGGCTCCTGAGGACACACACACTTTCCTCCTCTTTCAGACAAGGACCTGGGAAAGACTTGTAGGAAGTTTGGTGTGTGCTCTGGGTTGTGGGGGCCCGGCGGGAGGCTGGGCATCAGGATCCCATCCCAGGATACATTCGTTCAGTGGCACTCACACCCCACACCTGCTCCCAGCATCCCAGGACACATTCATTCCGCAGCACTCACACCCCAGCACCTGCTCCCTGCTGGCACCATGGCACCTTTCGCTTTTTCTAGCATCTCCTCCTCACTCACTCGACTCCAACCAACAACCACTTATGTACCAGCTACATGCCAGGTTGCTGAACGGCTCTGAGCAGTTAAAGGGCAGCCAGGAGCAGCTGGGAGAGGAGGGGCTGGAGGAGGAAGAGGGGTCCAGGACCCAGGGGCTCACTGGACGTCCCGAAGTCTTTGTGCAGACCTAGGGTTGGGGCTGCAGCAGTGGGGTCAGGGGGCAGCCAGAGTTCCTGGTAGACCTGGGAGGGGCCTGATCAGGAGAAGGAGGGGCCACAGAGCCAGGGTCAGGCCAGACTGTGAGGGGCCTCTTGTTGGGACAGTGTCCCCTCAGAGCGAGAGCCCGGGGCTTGTGGCCGCCTCACTGTGACCTCTGGCCGTGCAGCCTCTGGGGAAGGTGGAGATGTTTTCCCTTTTTCAGAGCAGGAAGGTGTTACCTGCCCATGGAGTGGGAAGTGGGGTGCTCTCACCTGCACTGCCCAGGTGAGGAAGCTGAAAGCCCAAGCCGCCTGTCTGTCCTGAGGCCACCAGATGGAGTGGCAGGCGGGGCTACTGAGCGCCCTTGGTCTCTCTCTGGCTGAGTCACCCGGAGGCTTTGGGAAACAGATTTTCTTCCCCCTCCAGCCGTACCGCCACCCTCCTCTCTTCTAGAAGAGGCAAGAAGCAGCGGCGGGCGGGGGGTGGGTAGAATTGCTTGGAGGTAGGGGTCCCCCCAGGCCTGAGTCAGGGCTCTGTGAGACCCCCTGGTTCTTCACTCACTGTGGGCTGAGACACCAGCTGAATCGTCCACAGGAAGATGCTCTCTCACTCTGCACAACCACTCTTTCGAAGAGGAAACCGAGGCTCCGAGAGGATCCCCAAAGCATCGCCAGCCACCGTGGGCAGGGCATGGACTCCAGCCCAGGAAGCCTGGCTCCAGAATCATGCTCCAGGCCCCTAAGCTGTAATTTGTGTCCTCCAGGGCTCACAATATCTAAGATTTAATGTGGAAAAATGGTTCTATTCTGTCTCACCCCATGACCCAAAATGAACTTACATTAAAGGCAAAAAAAAAAAAAAGAATAATTATAAAGCTTTGGAAGAAAATACAAGAGCATTTTGGTATAAAAAATGCAAAATCCAAAACCTTAAAGGAAACCATTTGACTACTTAAAATTTAAAAACTTAAATGTGATGAAAAGAACAATCTTTAAAAGGTAAAATAATAAGCAGCAGACTGGGAACGAATATCTGCAATGTAAACACAACATCCATCATATATAAAGAACTCCCACAAATAACAAGAAAAAAGCAAACGAGATAGAAAAGTGGTAAAGAGTGAAAACAGAAAACATAGTCAACTAAACTGATGAATATCACAAAATATCCAACCTCCCTATTAATCATAGAAATAAGAAATTGAAAAATATTTTATGACAAAATCTAGTGTTGCTTCAGTGAGGAAGGGATGCATTGACACACGCATGCAGGGGTGCAAATGGGAACAACCTTTTGAAAGGTGATTTGGAGTCTCTATCACAAGTTTAAATGCACCTGCCCTGAGACCCCCATCCCTGGGAAGAGATGTCCATGCAGATGTCTAAGGCACACGTCTGGAAACAGTGAAGACCTGGGAAGAACAATCCTCAAGGGACCCAGCTCCCAAGTGTTCACCTTCCAGGGAAACCAGTCCTCACGGAGAACTCAGAGCCCTGGTGGGGTGGTGGGTGGGGTCTAGGGCCTTTGTCAAGGTTCACCCCAGGCTGGGCTTGGAGGCCAGGGACGCTGCTAGTATCTGGGTGTCTGCCTCAGCCTGCAGATGCCGCACCCAGCTGCCCCGAGGAGCTACCGTCCGCCTGGTGGAGACTCGGGCTGGGCCCAACTCAGAACTAGGGGTGAGGGAGTGAAGCAGGGACGGGGTCCTGCGGAGGGGGTGGGAGGGTCCGGCCCTCCTGCTCTGGGGGACCTCCCCGGGCAGCACGCTCCCTGTGTCCCACCCCAACCTCCTGCTGGTCTTTTCCTGGACCCCCCATCCCCCGCTCCCCTCCAGGCTGGGCTTGCCACTGTCTTCCCTCTGACTCAGCCTCCATCCTTCCCGTGTGGGCAGCAGCATCCCTGCCTTCTCGTGTGGAATCCCAGGGAGCCGCACCCGGCCTTCTGGAGAGTTCTGTCTCTGATTTTATACGCCCTATCAGCCTGTTATTCGATCCAGATGCCTGCGAAATTTGCAGGGATCCGTCTGTGATGCGCGGTGGGCAGCCCAGGCAGGGCTCCCGTTTCATGCAGCAGCCAGAGGTCTGAAGAGGGTGTGGCCCCTTCCCTGGGAAACATGGGATTTGTTCCAGGTGCTTTTCCACCCAGAGCCAACACCCTGGCATTTTGCAGCCCCTTGGGGAGTATGCGTGGGGGGAGTGCTGAGCTGCAGTGGGCGGCAGAGGGCTCAGGCTGGACCATCCCTGCACCTTCCACAGTGAGGCCGTCCCCTCCTGAGCCTCTGGCTCCCGGCCTGTCCTCGCTCCCTCACCCAAGCCCCGAGAGGATTTGGTAGCTCAGGAAGGACCCTCTGCTCACCAGAGGTCGCCGTGACTGTGAGGCCACCCTCCTCCCCTCTTCCCCCCATTCCTTCCTGGACCTTGGGAGACTTCTGGGAGCCAGCGCCCTCCCCAGCAGAGTCTTCTCCACGGGTCAGCCACGGGGACTTTGAGGATACCAGGTCCTCACCCAGGCGCCCGTCTCAGAGTCAAAGCCGTAACTGCCACAGCGCAGCGGCCTTCAAGATACCCTCCTGTCACCCGCCAAGGGGTGCCCGGACCGAGCACGGGGATTCAATTCCCACCCCACAAGAGGTTCCCAGCACTTCTGCTGACCTGGCTCAGTGAGTCGGGGAAAAGGGGTGCCCAGCCTCCTCTGTGTCTCCAAGTCAGGGACATCCCAAGGCACCTCACTTGGGTATTCTCAGAAAAGCCAGCCCTGAATCTCAGAGCCACCAAAGGAAGGCAGGATTCGAGCCTGGCCTCAAGTATGACTCTGGAATGTAAAGAGGAAAACATGATTTAGGTTAACATGGGACACAACCCATTTCCCACCCAAACCAAGGTCCAGGGGGACCTCTCATCCCCAGCAGGGGGTGTGTCCACAAAGAACAACCACAAACTGGGGTCATTTCCAAAAGAAACACTCCCGGTTTCCTCCAGGGGCGGAGACCGAGGCGTCTAGGGGAGGAGGCTGGGATGGGCCGAGGCCCGAGGTGGGGAGGTCCGAGGCACATCCCAGGTCTGGCAGCGTGGGCCAGGCCCTGCTGGGAGGGGGCTGAGGACCCCGGAGCCTAGGCCTGTCCTGAGCCTTTCCTCAGCCGTGAGAGCCTCGGCCCTGTGCTGGCAGCAGCGGTCTTCCCTCCACATAGGCAGCCAGGCTCAAGCTCAGGCCAGCCCCCAGCCACCCCCGGCTCCCAACACGCCCGGCCCTGTGGGAGATGCCAAGCTGGCGTCCCTTTCGAGCCAGGCCTCCTGGTGGTGCGGCCAGCGCTGGCACAGACCTGAATTCCATCAAAGAACAACAAACTGAAAATCCAGCTGAGTTCAAATTTGCCCAAATTACCACTTGAAGCACCTCCCAGGTTCCCTGTCCCAGAGGGTGGTGCCCGCCCTGCCCCAGTGGGATGTGGTCAAGGCAGCAGCTCCTCCAGGCCACGGGCATAAGCAAATACCTCCTGGCCCACAGGGGCTTGGCCGGAGCCCTTGACTCAGCCCCACCCAGGCCCCCTCCTGCACCTCGACCGACTCCTGGGACTCCATGACGCATAAGCCGGCAAGTTTCCAGGCCGCCGGGACACAGCCTAAGACGGGGCTCGAGTCCCTGTGGTGCCCAACCCAGGAAACCGGCCTCCACCTGGTCAGTCTCGTGCCCATCCCAGGAGACCGGCCTCCACCTGGTCAGTCTCGTGCTCATCCCAGGAAACCGGCCTCCACCTGGTCAGTCTCGTGCCCATCCCAGGAAACCGGCCTCCACCTGGTCAGTCTCGTGCCCATCCCAGGAAACTGGCCTCCACCTGGTCAGTCTCGTGCCCATCCCAGGAGACCGGCCTCCACCTGGTCAGTCTCATGCTCAATCCAGGAAACTGGTCTCCACCTGGTCAGTCCCAGAGACCTTTCTCCTCACACCCAAGGTGGCCAGCGCCCCATTGATTTCAGTCTTTCAGGGTTGACCCTGACCTGACCCGCACCCCACCTCAAGTCTCCACTCCAGTCCCAGAAACCCTCCCCGCTCCAGCCCCTACGCCCAGCCCAGCCCAGTCCAGCCCCACAGGGTCTCCTGACTCACCCAGATCTGCCCCCACAAGAGCCCTCCTCGCTCCTCAGTCGGGGACTCCGTGGCGTGCAGGCCCCATGAGCTCCATGGTCCCGGAAGTGAAGGTGGGGCTGGGAGGAGGAAGCGAAGTGGACGTCGGCTTCCTTGAGGGACTCTGGAGCCACTTCAGTGGACATCTTTGGCCAGCAGCACAACTGAGCCTGTGGCCTGTGCAGCCCCAGCCCCTCCAGCAGGATCACTGGCCCATTGGGGATGACCGAGAGACACTCGCCGTCCTCCAGAGCAGGGGTCCCCAGGCTGTGGCTTGTTGGGAACCGGCCGCACGGCAGGAGGTGAGTGGCGGACGAGCGTGACCGCCTGAGCTCCGCCTCCTGTCAGATCAGCAGTAGCACTAACTTCTCACAGGAGCGGACCCTAATGGGAACGGCGCACGCGCGGGATCCAGGTTGTCCCCTCCTTATGGGAATCGAATGCCTGATGATCTGAGGAGGAAACCATCCCGTCTTCTCCCCAGCACCCACGGAAACATTGTCTTCCACAAAACCTGTCCCCGGTGTCAAAAGGGTTGGGGACCGCTGCGCTGGTGGGATGGTGCCAGGCCCCTCAGCCCCTTCCGGGAGCCTGAGAAAGGGTTCAAGAAACCCAGGGGGCCGGTCGGTTCACCAACCCCCCCACCCTTGGCTCAGCCGAGTCAGGGGCTCCACCCAGCAGGCAGAGATGAAAACTCACGGGGGCGTCTGTGGGAGGAGAATGTCCACTGCCACCTGCCAGGTCACGGGGGACACTGGAGGTCTGCTCTGCCTCCGTTCCCCTGGCCTGGGTGCCTGGGGATTCAGATTCACCCTTGTGTGGAGGTGGGGAGGCGGGACTGGGGAGGACCCCGAGTCTCCCAGGCAGGCAGCCTGGCGCCAGGTGGTGGAACTGTGATCCAGCAAACCTGCTCATTCCTGTGGGCGGCTAACGGCTTTTATTTCAGGACACTCACATGTGTTAAAACAGGAAATAAAGTATGAGAAACGGCACTCCCACACACTCCCGGGAAGGAAGCTCTCCCTCAGTCCCCCACCCGCACAGCCCCAGGAGGGACCCCTGGGCGCAGCCCACGCCTCCACCTCCCATCCACCCCCCGCATTCCTGGGCTGCTCTTCCTCTGAAGCATTTTAACACACACGCGTGAGTGCACATACACATGCGCGTTTACCAACAGTGCTTGTCCCCTGTAGTGTCTCCTTCCACCTGGGGCAGGTGGCATCGGGGGCAGGTGCCCGCTGACTCAGGACTTGCTGCTCCTGGAACTCTCAACCTGTGGCTGCATGAGTCCCACCCTGAGGGCTGATGACGTGGACACACAGAGTTCTGGGCCTGCCTCAAACCTCAGAGCAGGTCACGCTGAATGTCCAGACACCAAGGAGCTTCAGGCAAGGTCAGGGGCCAGGCATCATGACAGTGTCCCTGGGAAACTGCAGGCACAGCCGGGCATGTGTCTCCCGGGAATCTGCTATGGGGGCCCCAGCACTGTGCTGTGCTCCCAGGGGGACCCCCACCCACCCAGGCCAGGGCCAGGGCCTGGGGTGGCAGCTCCATGCAGTGGTCAATGCTGTGCAGGGTCTGGGGGCTGGCACAGGGGAGGGGCTGGCACAGGGGAGGGGCTGGTACAGGGGAGGGGCTGGTACAGGAGAGGGGCTGGCACAGGGGAGGGGCTGGTACAGGGGCGGGGCTGGTACAGGGAAGGGGTTTGGTACAGGGGAGGGTCTTGGTACAGGGGAGGGGTTTGGTACAGGGGAGGGGCTGGTACAGGGGAGGGGCTGGTACAGGGGTGGGGCTGGCACAGGGGAGGGGCTGGCACAGGGGAGGGGCTGGTACAGGGGCGGGGCTGGCACAGGGGAGGGGTTTGGTACAGGGGAGGGGCTGGTACAGGGGCGGGGCTGGCACAGGGGAGGGTTTTGGTACAGGGGAGGGGCTGGTACAGGAGAGGGGCTGGCACAGGGGAGGGGCTGGTACAGGGGAGGGGCTGGTACAGGGGTGGGGCTGGCACAGGGGAGGGGCTTGCACAGGGGCGGGGCTGGCACAGGGGCGGGGCTTGTTACAGGGGAGGGTCTGGCACAGGGGAGGGGCTGGTACACGAGAGGGGCTTGGTACAGGGGAGGGGCTGGTACAGGGGAGGGGCTGGTACAGGGGAGGGGTTTGGTACAGGGGAGGGTCTTGGTACAGGGGAGGGGCTGGTACAGGGGAGGGGCTTGGTACAGGGGAGGGGTTTGGTACAGGGGAGGGGCTGGTACAGGGGAGGGGTTTGGTACAGGGGAGGGGCTGGTACAGGAGAGGGGCTGGTACAGGGGAGGGGCTTGGTAAGGAGAGGGGCTGGTACAGGGGGGGCTGGTACAGGGGAGGGGCTGGTACAGGGGAGGGGTTTGGTACAGGGGAGGGGCTGTTACAGGGGAGGGGCTGGTACAGGAGAGGGGCTGGTACAGGGGAGGGGCTGGTACAGGGGAGGGGCTGGTACAGGGGAGGGGCTGGTACAGGGGGGGGCTGGTACAGGGGAGGGGTTTGGTACAGGGGAGGGGTTTGGTACAGGGGAGGGTCTTGGTACAGGGGAGGGTCTTGGTACAGGGGAGGGGTTTGGTACAGGGGAGGGGCTGGTACAGGGGAGGGGCTGGTACAGGGGTGGGGCTGGTACAGGGGAGGGGCTGGTACAGGGGAGGGGCTGGTACAGGGGAGGGTTTGGTACAGGGGAGGGTCTTGGTACAGGGGAGGGTCTTGGTACAGGGGAGGGGCTGGTACATGGGAGGGGCTGGTACAGGGGAGGGGCTGGTACATGGGAGGGGCTGGTACAGGGGAGGGGCTGGTACAGGGGAGGGGCTGGTACAGGGGTGGGGCTGGTACAGGGAGGGGTGGTACAGGGAGGGGTTGGTACAGGGGAGGGGTTTGGTACAGGGGATGGGCTTGGTACAGGGGAGGGGTTTGGTACAGGGGAGGGGTTTGGTACAGGGGAGGGGCTGGTACAGGGGAGGGGCTGGTACAGGGGTGGGGCTGGTACAGGGGAGGGGCTGTTACAGGGGAGGGGCTGGTACCAGGGAGGGTCAGTTCTGAGTGATTCTGACCAGGACTTGTGTGTGGAGGGCTTGACCCCCCAGGTAGGACCCCAAGTTTACCCACGGTTCCCCCACCCTATATGCACACGGGCGGAGGTCGGACGGCTGCCTGCCCAAGGCCCTGGGACTGGCTCGTGGGGTCTGCTCCACTCTTGAGCCAAGTGCTGAGTATCTGCCCGGTGGGGGAGCTTGGTGGGGAACGTTCTGTCTCTCGTAAATCCGCTCGGGGCTGGGTGTGACTGTTTAGTCGAGGTTGGTCATGAATGTTTGGAGGTTTATGTCACTGTGCCTCCGTGGTAGGTCAAGAATGTTCAGAGGGTTATGTCGCTGTGCCTCCGTGGAACTGGCACCGAGCTCGTCTTGCCTCCTCTTCTATTGAAGAAATGATGCCCCGTTCTGGGGTCACGTGCTCAGGGTGAGCGGGGGTGGCTGCCCCTCTGACCAAAGCCCCCGTAAGCCTGGCACATGTCCCCGAGGAGGCCTGGTCTCTCCCTGGTGCCACAAGGTGCCAGTGTGGGGGCAAGCCGGGGTCCCCCTGGCCCTGGGGGAGAGAGGGCTCCTCCCTGGCCTGGGTCCCTTGGGCTAAGGAGAGGAGGTGGCCCCTGCCTCCACCAAGGGGCTCCCCATCAGTACCCCTAACCTGGTCAGAGGGAGGGTACTTAGGTCTCCTGTGCCAGTTTCCAGCAATGGCTGGGAGCCTGCCTTTGGTCAGGCCACCCTGGAACAACCTTCGATCAGCCACTGATGGCTGTGGCTGTGGGATTCAGCTCCTGGCAGGACCCTGGAGGGAAGCCACTGCCGACCAGCCAGGTCCCACCCCCCGCCCGCCGGACCACACAGGAGCCCCCCTCCTCTCGGAGCCCTCGGGGCAGCCCCAGGCTGGCGTCGAGCATTTGATGATGTCCCTGACCCCATGTCCCTCTGAGGGTCCCTAAGAGAAAGCTTGACAGAGGCCTTGTCAAGGAGGGCTGGACTCAGCAGCAAAGGCGCTCCCTCCAAACCAGAAACTTACCCTGGAGCCCAAAGGGCCTTGAAAACAAACAGGCAAAGTGACTTCAGTTTTTCTTTCCACAAAGAGGCAGTTGTGGCACCAGAAAAGTGAAGACGTCCGTCTCCCAGGAACACGGTTGACTCTGAAGTTTGTTCTATACTAAAGGTGTCACTAAAGCCACCTGGCCATTTTGCAATCCATCCAAAGGATCCCCCAACCCATGGTCACCTTCAGAAGGTCCTCACACCAGGTGCCACTGTGTGGGTCTATGGCCTGCACACCCTCTTCCCCAAGGGCAGAAGCAGAGGCCTCCCAGAGGGCTGTGCCGGAGGCAGCCACGGGTTCCAGAAGCCCCTCTCCTGGCCTCGAGGCTGTATCTCGACAACGTCGCCGTGGGGGTAGAATCAGACGGGAGAGTCCCTGTCCCTTCGGTGAGTGTCACTCCTCCTCCCTGCAGATAAACAGCTACCTCCAGTGGGGATGCAAAGGGGCCATTCCAGTCAGTGCGTTTGACACAGCTTGGGGTTGTCAGGCAAGAAATGAACACCAAGGTGAAGACCTTTGAGAGGGAGGCCCTGATCCGGAAGCCAGCCAGCCATCGAGGAGGAAACGTGGGGCAGCTGGGCAGAGAGCTCTCCCAGGCAACCTGGCTGAGCGGGAGGGCACTGCAGAGACGGGCGGCCCAGCCAGGGCTCCAGCAGATATGGGAGTGAGCCAGGCCCTGGGCCAGGCAGGTGCAAGTGCATTCCAGGACTGGAGGTTGTGTGTGAACTCTCACCGCACTTCGGATGGACAGATAGAGGTAGGTACAGAGACTGCAGATGGCTGGACACATAGACAGCACAGACGTGTGAGGGGTGTATGTGTGTGTGAAGACTCTGTAGGCTCAAACAACAACTGCTACCCAGTGACTGAGAACACAGGCTTTGAAATCAACAGACCTGAGTTCGTGCGTCAGTCCTACCACGTGACCGTGAACACGTATCAGACAGTTCCTAGATCCCCAACGTGGAGAGGGTCACTGTGAGCCTGATGTGACCCCTCTTTGGAAGGGCTGTAGTCACCGTGAGGGGCCAAGGTTTGCTCTCAGGGCTCTGATTCTCATTCAGCTGTGTGCTGGGCACCACTGTAGGGCTTAAGACACTTCCACGAGAAACAGGCTCCTGCCCTGAAGGGCGCCTCCACGCGGGGGGCGATGCCGTCTCTCGTGAAGAAGCCTTTGTCGTGTGGCGTGGGTGACGGGGCTCAGACCAGCACGGGGGGGGAGCAGCTGAGCCAGGCAGTGGCGCTCAGCAGGGACTGGGGGGCTTGGTGGGAAGGGGACTGGCAGGAGGCCAGGAAAGAACATTCCAGGTTCTCAGCCCTAGTGAGGGTGGAGACCACCGGGAGAGGAGAAGCACGGAGGCCATGTCAGGGGAGGCTGGTGGGAGGGAGGCACAGAGTCCAGAGGGTCCCTTGCGACCAGAAGGGGCACCCCCAAACTCCTGAGATCCCTGTGTCCACCGTCGCAAGGGAAATGGGACTCCAAGCTGGCCTCGGTTTGATTGAAAAAACAAAGCAAATGAAATAAAACAAAACACTGACATGTCTCGCCCACTGGAGACATGGAATGAGACTCACGGTGGGTGGAAGAGTTGGCTTTGAGTTGTGCTTTGGGAAGTCAGGAGAGAAAGGAGACAGCCCCACCCTAGAGGCTCATGGAAGGCCAGGTGGACAGAGGGACGAAGGAAGGCACAGGGCTCCTGGCCCCAAGAGGTTTGGGTTTATCAAGGTAACAGACGTCTACGCAGCTCGTCCCAGGACAAGGCGGAGGGAA